TCTTTGTGGCATATTATCGAAGAGGATGTCGAAAACGACAAAGAAAACATTAGTAAAGAAACATCTCAAGATAAGCACGGACCTAAAGCGACACCAAATGAAGGAAAAGTTGTTGTTTTACAAATGCTTACTTTAAACACTATGGATACACAAAATTTACAATTTAGCACACTGCAAGAAGTAGACGCATTGGCACAAAACTATGAAGTAAAAGAAAATAATCTTCAATTACAAAAGTTACCTGAGAGTCAAATTGAGATGGCAGAGGAAGAAGAGTATCTTAACGAAGAAGTTAATAAACCTGCGGTGATTAGTCGAAAACGAAAAAGAAGACCATCAGATTGGAAACAAAATATAAGAAAACATAAACGACAATCTGGACAAGAATATGTTGATACAATGAAGCGGACCAGGGAAAAGAAATCTGTGAAAATAGAGACATGTCGATCTGAAAATTGTGTACTGCAGTGTACTGCTAAAATTACTCCTGACGAAAGAGATACAATTCATAGACAGTTTTGGTCTCTTAATGATGACAAAAAGAATCAGTTCTACTCAAAACATGTGAAGCGTATTTTGGCAGTAAGAAAAAGAACAAACAATGAAACCAGCAAAAAAACATTTTCATATCAATATTTTTTTTATGTATGTGGAGTTAAAATAAGAGTTTGCCAACATTATTTTTTTAATACATTAAATATTAGTAAACAGAGGATTTACTACTTTTTTAAGAGTGTAAAAGATGATGTTAGATGCATTGTTCGTTCCCCTATTCGTGGCAGGCATCAGAAGAAAACTATCTCCGAGGGAAAAAAACAAAAAGTACGAGAACATATACTCTTTTCAAAGAGTCGACTCTCACTATTGTCGACAGAGTTCTACCAGACAATATTTGGAAAAAAATTTAAATTTACAAAAAATGTATGATCTATACAAAACTCAAGAATCAGAACCAGTCAAATATCATATGTATCGGACAATATTCAATACTGAATTTAATTTGACATTCTTTTGTCCCAAGAAAGATATATGTGATAAGTGTGCAGCATATAATTCTCTTACTAATCCGACTGAAGCAGATATTTTAAAATTTGAAACTCACAAGAAAAATTTGGTACATCAGGAAAAAAACCGAGACAAATTTATATCCTCCGAGGGCAAATGTGTTGGTGTTTTATGTTTTGATCTGCAAATAGTTTTTTCGATACCAAAATCTAACGTAAGCAATTTTTGTTATAAAACAAAATTTTCTTGTTATAATTTAACTGCTCATTTCGACAAAACTAAGATCGTATATAATGCCTTATGGCATGAAATGATTTCTGGTAGAAGCGGACTTCATATTTCTTGTGCTTTGATTAAAATACTTAAAAAAGTAGTACTAGATAATCCTGCACTTGAAAAATTAATTTTATGGTCAGACAGCTGTGTACCTCAAAATAAAAATTCAATAATGACATTTGCTTTGCAACATTTTTTGCAATCCAATTCTTCAGGTCAGATAAAAATAATAGAACAGAAATTTGGTGAACCGGGTCACAGCTGTGTACAAGAAGTCGATGCAGCTCATAGTTGTATAGAAAGATTTGTAAAAAATGTAGATATTTGGAGCCCCGTAAGTTTGTTAAAAATTTTAACGAAGATTCCAAACTCGTGGAAAATGAAATTTAAATTTTTTCAAATGATCACTGCAGATTATAAAAATTACCAAGCAGAATCAGAAAAATTATCCTATCGAAACGTACCTTACACTAAAGTGAAACATCTGATATACGAAAAAGAATTTCCTTTAATCATAAAATATGGTGAACTATATGAAGGGTCACTTAAGGAAATTAAACTGGAAAACGTTAAAAAAACGCGATGTCAAATACATAATAATTTACCAGAAGTGCTGCAACTCGTTAATTTAACACCAAAATTACCTGAATTAAAGAAAAAGCATCTCAAAGAGATGATACCGTTCATGCCGGAAGTTGATAAAGAGTTTTACAATGTTGTTTTGAAGCACTATTCAAGTATCATGTGCAACAAAGAAAAACAAAAGAAATAGACAAATAAGGAATTAGCGAGAAATAGAAGATTATTGTTTTGTTTTAGTACACCTAATAATTGTATTTTTGTTTAAGTTACGGTCATATATTTAATAAATTTTGGTTTTTATTTGATAATTTGTCGTTACCACCAATAAAACATTTTAAGAATTAGTTAGTTCTATATCCACTATACATGTTCTATATCCCAAATATTTCAGTTAAATGTTCCTTTTGTTCTATATCCAAATAAATTTTTCCGTATTACATGTTAATGTTGTTTTAATTGGCAATAATAAAGCACTATAACAAAAAGTAATTTAATATGCAAACAGTGATCATGATCTGTAAAACAATTTTTCAATAATATCAAAAATATTTTACATTAAATTTAAAAACGCTCTCCTGTAAAATTGAGTTTTAGGAGATGGAACAGTATAATTCTCAGGCGACGATTTGAAAATAACTTTGTTGCTAACTTTACTTTTGCTTTTGCTCTTAACGTACATTTAGCATTTCTTCATTTACATCAAATGAGATTGTTAAGTTAAGATTGTTCGTAATTTAAAAATAATGTTCTTATTAATTTCCGCTCTACAAAAGTGAAAGCTATTATCAAGAAAATCATTTTATATAAGTTTTAGGTATAAGGTGTGGTATATCACATAAAACATGGATTTTATGATTTGTTGGGCCTATAAACCACGGCTTTTCTTCGTTTATTTTAAGATTTTTATGAAGGCCTCTGTTACCACTTCCCAAATCACTAACAATAGAACAAACATGAAATCCTGCTTTTTCTACTTCCTTAATTATGTCAAACAGAATTGATTTTTCCATTTTTCTGTCAAAATCAAAATAAATTGGCTGCTTCCAGAATGTCAGTAGTCCTCTCATCAGTGCTATCTGAACATAGTTGGCAGGTTTTAAAAGGTGGTCATTTGCTTTTTCATATGCACAGGTTTTTAGAATCTTCATTTCATTGAAGAAAACAACACAATTTTTTTCAGGTTCGGATAGGTGAGAATTTTTTTTAATTTTTAAAACAGGTTTTATTACGCCTGGAACAATTTTGACTTTTTTCCAAAAAAACTTGAAGCCTTCGAGATGTGGCTATACAGGCGAATTCTAAGGATATCATGGACAGATAAGATAACCAACGAGACCGTATTACGAAGAGTGGGCAAAGAAAAAGAGGTGATGTATACCATTAAAAGGAGAAAGTTGGAATATCTCGGACATTTAATGAGAAACAGCACTAAATACAGATTACTGAAGGTAAACGGATCCTACAGGGTAAAGTATTCGGAAAGCGAGGAATTGGGAGAAGGAGAATATCATGGTTGAAGAACCTGAGGAAATGGTTCTCCACAACAACGAATCTATTTAAAGCATCAGTTAATAAAATAATTACAGCCAGAATGATTGCCAATATTCGGAACGAATAGGCACTGAAAGAAGAAGGTCCATGAGCGAAAGGTTGAAACAGCAGGATATGGATAACCTTTTTTCAGCAATAATTTATATGCTTTTGGTCCAGCTGCAATACCTTGGGAGACTTCCTCAGTAGTCCATACTATTCGAACTTTGGGCCTTTGCAGTCTTTTTAGCTGTCTTTTGGTAAATATCTTATCTACTCCTGACTTAAATTATGTTAACTCATTAACCTGCTGAAGTAAGGCTTTGTTCTCGACACGTAACTTTTGAAGTTCAAGATCTTGTGCAGGTTCCATATCTCATATCTATATTTAATCTAAAAACAAAAATCATATTTTTAATCTACTATACATATTGCATAATGTTAAGACTATTATGTTTTCATTCAGACGACTGCTCACAGCATATTTAGAACATTTTACATACCCGACTGATTTCACTGAGTCCACATCTGGTTCTTCAGTTGTAGAACTAAAAAATAAATGTTAAGATATTACTTTTATGTCATAATACTTAAAGTGTTTCTACCAAAAGATAAGAATAATCTTTACCTAGATTTTGTAATTATCTGTTCCACAATCCTCTTTGACTCCCTTTTGAAAGACCTTTCCTGCCTTTTAAGTTGATTTATGGATAAGTTTTTTGATTGTGGTAGATAAAGAGAAGGAATCGCATCACCCTTCAGTTTGGGTTCTTTCTTTGATTCATATTGCAGCAATTCATGCAGTAAATTTCTTTTAAAGTCTTCCAGCTTAAAGTGTTAAGAACAAATACTTGAGGTTTTAGTATTAAATTTGTCTTCACAGCAATAAGCAATAACCCACACTTTTTCCACCACCGAGCCCTTGAGAAAACTGAAAAACCTAACAGATTGATCGGCACCTTTTGCCTGATTATCACTTAAACAACTAGGTACTGCAAAACGCATTTTATGTTTAGCTTATAAAACTATTCCTAGCAAAACGTCCCTAAAAATACAAGGGGGGTATAAGTATGGTTGAGTATTAAATATTGACTCAATAATAATTAAACATACCTTATTTGTAATTTCTAAAAAACCAAAATGTTGTCCATGTAAAGTAGGTACTCCTACAAAGCCACTATCACTCAAAAAACTAGCATAAAGGGTTAAAAATATTCCTAATAATCATTCTTTTTCAGTAAAGTGTCTACAAATCGCGGAGGCATGTTGTCGAGTCGGCTAAAACCCACGAAGGGTTGTAACGCCACGGAGTAAGTCTACAAATTAACTTAACTCTCACAAAAACCTTATAATATCTTCTACAGGCTTACTAAAGACGTCAAAAGTTAAAACATTGATAAAATTCCCATTATAAACATATGTATTACAATGAAGGCAACTCTCAGTACTACGTCAACACTAGCAGAGTGGCCTACGCAATATCATACCTGTTATTTTTTGTACCATGATCTAAGTCTACTGATGACACTGTCTTAGTTGTAGACAGTTCGTCATGAATAAACCGGATAATCATTTTTGTTGCATCTATTTGCACAAAATAATAATTAATGAGTAATATTCTTACAGATTTAAAAAGAGAAATAGCTGTATGGGAGCGAACGGCAGCTTCAGTCAGCAGTTACAGTAAAGATGAAAATATAGTTAAGGAAAGTTTACTGAAACAAATGGCACAGTTACAAACCAAATTAAAAGACACTGTTAATCACTGTAAAACTGCATCGGCGCATGTAAATCGGGTAGAAAATTTAAAGAAGCAGGTAAATTAATGTGTAAATAAACTGTTTTAGTGTACTTTTTGGTGTAGATTTACCAAAAAGTGTAATATTAGGGAGATTATTACTTTTTTTCATTACCTACTATCTTAATTTATTTTATTTTTACTCTTTAGTACTAAGACATTATTCCTAGAAAACAAACACTATGTTTATAAACTAGTAGACAAAAATATCGAATATTTTGGAATTTTCCAATTATTTTTTTGTAGTCACTATTATTTCAAAATATTTTTAGATTACTGATATTACTCATAATATAGTAGGCTAATGTACTCAATAAGTTTGAAATATTTTGACGTTTATTCAGCGTTTAGTTTCAATCGTACATTATATCCTAAAAATCAAATAAAAAAAATATATTATAAAAAACCTTCACGTAAAAGCAAAACCATACTAATTCAATCATTTTTAGTTTAACTTAATAAGTTTAATTAATTGTTTTCATTTAACTAAGTTTAAAGTAAGTATGCCACCTATTCGACACTACGATAAAGCCCAAGTAGCACAGATTGTAATGTTGAACGAGTAAAGATATACACAAAAGGATATCGCACGATATCTCTGGAGAAGTCAATCTACAGTTTCGAATACTTTCAAAAGGTACCACGATACAGACAATTTTGTGCTAAAGCCTGGTCAAGGATGCCCAAGGTGCACAAACGCAATTGATGACTGTTCTTTTTTGGTTCTAATTCTACACGAAATCGCCCAATGACATCGATGAACCTTAGAAATGAGCTACTAATTGTTAGACAAGTTAATGTGAGTTCAAAAACAGTTAGATGAAGATTAAAAGAAGCAAACTTAAAGCCTAGACGCTCTGCCAAAGTTACACGTTTTCTCCAAAATCATAAAGCTCGTCGTTTAAATTTTGCAAGAACACATATTCGGTGGAATATCGACAATTGGAAAAACGTCTTGTTTACTGATGAGACCAGAATCCTATTATGGACGCCAGATAGTCGAAACCACGCCTTCAGAAGAGCTGGAGAACGATTCGCCATCTGCAACGTTTCAAATACGATAGAGCAGCTTTGGCTTGCTGAACAGGATGAATTGAATGCAGTTTCCCATGGATATGTCCGAAATTTACTGGCAAGCATGCCGAGAAGGATACAACGAATACTCGTTACTGATCATGCAGTTGTTTCAATTAAAAATATTTGTTTAAGCAATTTAAATTAGCATTTAAGTTTTTTTTTAAATTACCCTCTTTACCTCACACTAAACATTTTTTTTCGCAATTATCTCCGCATTAAAAGTTAAACTTCTTCATTAAACATTGCTAAAATAAACTTCTTTTCACAGTAAGCAACTTAATTGACCAGAATTCATTTTCAAAAATAAAAATAAGAAAAGTCCAAAATATTCAATATTTTTGTCCATGAGTGTATATCTGTGTGTAGCGCTATCAAAAACTATAGACATTAACAACATTAGAAATCGTAAGATTTCCTACTTTTTAAAACTGAATTCAAATTTTTACCACTCTGCTTTCTACAACTTGCAAAGCAGACATATTGATAAATTAGTCGACAAGGGAATCCATAATTTGCATTACACGTGCCGTTCATCACGGTAAAAATTCTTAGTGAATTTAGTTTCTAGTACTCGAAACCGAGTAAAAAACTAAAACAGAAAGACGGTCCTTCAAGGGCATCTGCCATCGTATTTATTTTTATAATAATATATTTATAATTATTGTATTATAACGGGAGAAGTTGAAAATAAAATTGCGATATTAAATAAATTAATAGATACTATTGTGTTAACCTTTAAAAGCTGACCGAAATTCTGAGAACAACTGGAGTTGACGAACAAGTATAGCGAATTATTTCAGAACTATACTGGCACCAAACGGCAACAATTGAAATAGAGCACACAACATCCAAAAATATACAAATCCGACGAGGAGTGAGACAGGGTTGCGTCTTATCACCACTACTGTTTAATTTGTATTAGAGTATCAGAGAAGCACTAGACGAAGTCCAAGGTAAAATTAAGATTAACAGAATCAGCATAGACAACATCAGATATGCTGATGATACCGTCTTAATAGCAAGCAACGCACAAGAACTACAAAATCTAATAAATGCGGTAGTTCACCACAGCGAAATGTTTGGTTTACATCTAAACTTTTCCAAAACTAAAACTTAAGTATTTTCAAAAACTCCAATAAACGTACATGTGTATGCCAAGGGTTAAATAATAGAACAGGTAAATTCCATAAAATATTTTGGAAGTAAATATCAATAGTCAGTGTAATCCAAAAAAAGAAATCCTATCAAGAATCAGACCTTAGTCTGCAGCTTAGAATCCGAATGATCAGATGTTACGTTTTTTCTGTCTTACTGTATGGCTATGAAAGTTGGACAATAGACTCTGAAGTAGAAAAAAAAATAGATGCCTTTGAGATCTATATATACAGACGAATGTTAAGAATTCCATGGGTACAAAGAGTTACTAATGTTGAGGTACTTCGTCGCACGTGTAAACAAAAAGAATTACTAAGAATAATCAAAGATAGAAAAAATGCAATACTTGCGTCATGTGTGAGATGCGAAAAATATGAAGTTATACTGAAAGAAAAAGTACAGGGCAAAAGATCAGTAGAAAGACGCCAGAACTCGTGACTGAAAGACCTGAGGAGTCTTGGCTCTTCCTTAAAAGACCAAATGGCTACAATTGCCATTTGGTTCGCCAACATTCGAAAGGAGACAGTGCCATGAAAAGAAGACTATTGCAATACCTATTGGAAAGCTGGATGATGTAATATATGATTTATTAAAAAAGTAGAACATGAATATCTTCTGCTAGTTTGGCACGCAAGTACAAAAATATTTATCTTGAAACAAATAAAAAAACCATACCAACAAATTACAAGGAAATATACCTCCTTAGTATATTTATCCTTAGTATAGTGCCATGGAATTATTTTTCTCAGCACTGAAAGATGAACTACAAGGTTGTGAATAGGGATCTTAAAGACTTATATTTTTCTTCTTCTCCCTCTTTATAAGCAATTCTTATTACTTGGCAGATTGATACCTTTATGGAAAGTTGTACGTCCAATTTCTTATTTTATTTTGAGCACACGGGTCTCCTCTATTCTGCTTATGTGGTTATTTTATTTTTTTTAGTAAGTGCTCTTTTGGTTATATACTGTTTGATATATTTTCTTCTAATATCTTTATGCGTATTTCCTCGAATTCTTCTCACTATTCTTATATCTGCCGTTTCTAGTAGTCTTTGTGTTGTGGCTGTTGTGTCAGATCTTATTTGTGATGCATATGTGCATATGCCATTATTAGACTTACACTGGCTTTATACTGGGACTCTTTTATATAGTTACAAAGTCTAGTAGCTCTAAATGGGGCCGTTCTCCATGTTGATCACTTACAGCACTTAAATTTTCTAGAAAGGAAGTCAGATGATGGATGTTTAGAAATATTACAGTCCATTTCTCTGTAGACATTAAGTAATTTAGTGGACATATAAAAATTTTGAGAATAAACCAATGCTTCTTTAGTTATTATACTGGATGAAACTACGGCGTATCGCACATTGTCGTAGGATAACTTCACCTGAACGATATGTGCTATAGGCACAGATGGGTATTTATTACCGTTGTAAAGCAAAACTCTTTTAAAATTTACTTTAGAAAAATCTAAACCTGTAACATCAGATGGAGTTTTGTAAAACGTTCTGTTTCTCGAAATAGTAAATTTATTTTATGTGCTAATAGTATATCATCAGATAGAATCTCGACACCTTTAGGTTCCTTTTCATCGACACCTAAAGTCTTTGGTCTTTTTTAAAGGTTTTGGCTGCTATGTTTGTAGGAACGCATAGCTAATGGTAACTTTAGATACTGCACAGTATGTTTGGACTTCGGTTCTATGTCCTAAATCTTGTTGAGGCAAAATTAACAATGTATGATATGGTCTGTCTGTTACTTCCATATTATTGGTATTGTAAAGCACATTCGACGTTTTATACCTTTTAACCAAGGAGTTAAGTATGTTACGTAAGTCTAACATATACGAGAGACTCATGATTTACCTTGATCTTCTACTTTAACTCCACAATAGTATGAAAGCTTTACATAACAAAAACTGTTAGCCTGATTTACACGCTGCCTAGGCATGATACTTTGCTAAAGAATTACAATCAAGTATGCTTTGCAGTATGCTTATAAAAATAAAACAAAATATGGTAAATACAAATATATAACTACGTTTCATTCCCAACAATAGGAAGTACTAACTTCATACGCCGATAAATATCTACTAATGTATAAAGTCGAATAAACTGTTTACATCTTGCCTATGATAAGAATAAAAAAGATTAAAGTTGTCTTAAGCTGTCGCTGACAAATCTACTTTTTTCTAGATATAATCGCTGGCTAATTACTCAAGACTGGTGGGTGATAAACACATTTTGTTTTGGAAACATATTGCAAATACCAAAAAATCTTTCTGTCACAAAATGTGTCACCGGTGCTATCAATATTGTATCGTCTGCGTAACAGAGTATTGTTACTTCTTTGTTTCCCATTCTGTGTTTTTTTGCTTGTTGATAATTTTGATTATTTCATGATTAAATTGAAGAGTGTAGCGCTCAGCTTCCATAACTATTATAACTTTAATTTTGTTGCTATGGTCCATGTTTCAATAGTTTTTATGATATCTAAGGGAACTTCTCTAATTTACAGAAGATGGATTACATCTTTGAGACTAACAAATGCATTCTTCAAGTAAATCAGATCAGATACAGAAATGCTGGTCTATTATACTCTAGGGAGAGATTTCTCAGTAATTTGTTTTATGACGGATATTGCATCTGTACACAATCTTCCAGTACGGAAACCCCATTGTTCATCTGCTAAACTGATTCTCTGATTTATTAGCTCTTGTAAAAATTTAGTTGTAAGTTTTAGGGTAGTCCTTAATAAGTGTAGTTTTCTGACGGTTTTTTATCTG